CTCTATGGAAACACGTCCCTCTCCCAAAGCTAGGTCTAGCATTACCCCCCAAACCCTCAAAGTTAAAGACACTTTTCTTCATCAGATTGCCGATGATATAAAGTGATGACTTCAATGATGTGAGAACGGCTTCAGCAAGGCGTGTAGCTTGTTGTTGAATGGCCCCCGCAATCTTGGAACTCTAAAATGTATGTACCATATATGTTTGAGTCTTAAAGGGTTATTTTCTATATATAGCCTACCATGCAATAAAGTTAATATCATTCCGTGTTCCTAAAACTGAGTCTTGACTCAAAACAACAATGTTTTCAAAATGGTGTGTTGGTTTCATGTTTGAAACCATAAGCTGCAAGAGTTTGTAAGTATCATGTGTTAGGATTTCTAATGTGGGCTTAAATGGCGTCATTTTAAGTGAGTTAGCCTTCTTATCTGCATTTGGGATTTAGTGTGAAGAATTGTAGTTGTAGAATTTTTTTAGTATTTTATTATTATAAAAAATATGTTTTATTTTAAGATTTTTTATTTTTTTTAATACAGGTTTAAAAAATAACAAATATATTTTTTATAATTAATTTATATAAAAATAATAAAAATTGATTTGAATTTAATCAATTGATTAATTAAAATTATTCACATAATAATGACACTAAATTAAAAGTTAACGTTTCTTATTTTTTATATGGTTAAACCCCTTTTCTGGTCTCTCAAATATTGTACGAACTCCCAATTAAGTTTCTCAACTCAAAAAATCCTTAACTTGGTCCCTACTGTTTACCATTTTTACCCAAATTTGGTCCTTCCATTAAAAATCTCTCCACGTGTATTGTTAATTCACGGTAAGATGATGACATGTCAAAATTTTAATCCACGTGAAAGACAACATGGCAAAAACTAGTGACATGGCAATAAAAATTTTAAAAATTCTTTCTCTTTCCTCGTTCCCTTTCTCCTTCCTCTTCATTTCCTGAACCCAGAGCTTGGGATCGTCGAACCCAGGCGATGGGTTCATTCAAACCCAGCTGGGCGTTCCTCGTTCCCTTTCTCCTTCCTCTTCCTTTCCTTCTTCATCAATCAATTCTTCATCATCGTCAAGCAACACCCACAAAAGAACAGAAATTATTTATTTATTTTTTTGTTGAAGAACCCAGAGCTTGGGTTCCTTTGAAGAACCCAAGCCTGTTGGGTTCTTAAAACCCAGGCTTGGGTTCGAACCCAGGCACTAGGTTCCCTCGAACTAGCGCTTGGGTTCCTTCGAAGAACCCACAAGCCTGTTGGGTTTTTCAAACCCAGGCTTGGGTTCGAACCCAGGCGTTGAGTTCCCTCGAACCCACGCCTGGGTTCCTTCGAAGACCCCAAGCGTGCTAGGTTCTTCAAACCCACGCTTGGGTTCTTTGAAGGAACCCAGGCGCAAGTTTGAAGAACCCAAGCCTGCTGGGTTCTTCAAACCCACGCTTGGGTTCGAAGAACCCCAGGCGTTGGGTTCCCTCGAACCCACACCTGGGTTCCTTGAAGAACCCAGCATGCTTCGTTTCTTCAAAGGAACCCAAGCGCGGGTTCGAAGAACCCAAGCCTGCTGGGTTCCCTTGAACCCGCACCTGGGTTCCTTCGAAGAACTCAAGCTTGCTTGGTTCTTCAAACCCACGCTTGGGTTCGAAGAATTTTGGCAAGAGGTGGGCTCACGTTTTTTTTTATTGGCTGAAATTTGACGTGTTTTAATGACATGGTATTGATGTGTCATAATATTTTGACATGTCATCATTTCTCGTTAGTTAACGGGACACATCATTGGATTTTTAACAGAAGGACCAAACCGGGATAAAAATGGTAAACAGTAGGAACTAAATTAGGGATTTTTTTAATTCAGGGACCAAATCAGGAGTCCGTACAATAGTTCAAGGACCAAAAAGGGGTTTTAACCTTTTTATATTAATGGTATATTACTATATTTATTGCATTTCTTATCTGTGTACATATTAGACAAATTCTTTATTTAATAGGATTATTTTTGAAATAAAAATAATATAGTTCTAATATCATATATCATTGTAAAGTTACAATCTTGATA